AATGTCAGTCATTCGAAATGATCGTCCATCTCGCGGTGGTGGCGTTGCCATCTACTACCGAGATCACCTGAAATGTGAAGCTCTCACTGAGCATTCCCTTATTATCCCCGACGCCTTATTTTGCCAGCTGCAGCTATCCGGTCCCGATGGTTGTCCTCAGAAGAAGACACATGATTCTTGCCTCATAGCAGTTGTCTACAGGCCGCCGAACTCCTCCGCCGACAGCGATGATATTCTGTTAAATGCTCTCCAATATGCTATGTCGTAAAAGTACTCACACTACCTAATAATGGGCGACTTCAATGTACCGTCAATAGCATCTGTGTTCCCAAGTGGGCCATGCTTCAAATCAAAACTCCTTGAGTTCTTGACTATGGCAGTTTTGTAAAACCATGTGGATCAACCAACCAGACACCGCGGTTCAAACAAGCCTTCAATACTTGATTTAATCCTGACTAATGAGGAGTTAATGGTTGAGTCGGTTTCATACAACCCCCGCTAGGTTGTAGCGATCATTCAGTTCTAACGTTTGATTATGTGTGTTATGCCAGTATGGTTGACAAAGAACCAGAAACCCGACGATTCATCACCAACTATTCCAAGCTTCACACTATAGCGACAACCGTTGACTGGGACCTCCAGATGCACACTTCGGCGAATGATGCCTGGCAAGTGTTGAAAGGCAAGAGAAACTGGGTCCTACAATCAGCTTCAAAAGACGTACCATTACGAGTTTCGCGACGGAGCAACAACTGGATCCGGAGTAGAACACGTAAGTGGTTGAATAGGCGAGACGAGGCTTGGAGGGGTCATTTGCTGGGTCCAAGTGATATCACGTGGAATCATTACAAAACAGTCAGAAACTACTGCACTTCACTCCTTAAAGCTGACAAGTACGAATGGCAGGAAACTATGGTACGCAAATTCCCTAGCAATCACAAACTGCTCTACCGGTATGTGAATGACAAAAGAAAGGTTAAGACGGGAATACCACCACTAGAGACGGTCAATGGCCTAACGGTTACTGAAGAGGAGACCGCGGACGCATTGCTCATGCAGTTTGTCTCAGTGACTAGACACACCATGGAACCATCGCCTTGCTACATCCCAGCAAATGTCGTCGGCTTATCCACGGTCAACTTTAGCCCTACATCTGTGTCAAAGAAATTACAGTCGCTCAGGGAAAATAGTGCGCCGGGAATTGACAAGATCTGTTCGAAAGTACTTAAAACCCTTGCACCCACCATGGCAGTCCACCTTGCAACCTTTTTCCAGTTTCTATTTGATTCTCATACACTTCCGTCTGAGTGAAAACGTGGACTTATCACTCCGATATACAAGGGAGGTAAGCGGTCAGACCCTGCCAACTACCGACCTATTACTCTCCTCCCTGTTCTATGAAAAGTGATGGAGTCTATAATCGCTGATGAAATGGTGAGATATTTTGAAAGTCTACAAATCATCTCCAACCTCCAACATGGATTCAGACGCGGACGATCTTGCCTCAACAATCTACTACTTGCTCGGGACTCATGGACCAGGGCTGCTGACGAGGGAGTTCCCGTAGATGTGAGTTACTTAGACTTTTCTAAGGCATTCGACAAAGTCAATCACCCAGCACTTCTCCGAAAGCTTGCGGCCTATGGTATCCACGGATCCTTGCTCACATGGTTGGAAAGTTAGTTATACGACAGAAGAATCGAGGTAAGGATCGCCAACGCCCACTCCGATAGCCTATGCGTCACTAGCGGCGTACCGCAAGGATCAGTTCTCGGCCCGTTACTCTTTTTAGTCTATATCAACGACCTCCCTGCCAACATTCAATCACCTATGCAAATATTCGCCGACGATGCTAAGATGTGGCGAGCTATTCAGTCAACATCTGACCCTGTCTATCTGCAGGATGACCTGAACCGGATTCACGAATGGGCAGGAAACAACCACCTACCCCTGAACCCCGAAAAGTGTCACCTGTTGTCGCTGCGCAGTAACTGCAGCAACACATATCACCTGGGGCAGCGCGTTATAAAACAGGTGAGCAACGAAAGAGACTTAGGGGTCATCGTGCAAAAAGGTCTGGGTAATTCGCTCCAATGTTCAAAGGCAGCTAACATAGCGAACTTAAACTTGAGGCTTTTGAGGCGAGCGCTCGGTACCTTCGAGCGGCAACTCGTGCCATTATTGATTAACGCCTATATCCGTCCCCACCTCGAGTATGCGGTGCAGGCATGGCGTCCGTGGTTAAAACGAGACATTCGTCTCCTGGAGCAACCACAAAGAAGAGTCACTAAGGCAACACGTGGTCTATCGGGCCTTAGTTATGAACTGCGCCTTCGTTCGATCGGTCTGTACTCCTTGGAATACCGATGACTTCGCGGTGATCTGATCCTCACTTACCGGATACTAAGAGAAGAGGACCATCCATGTAAGTCGCTGTTAACATTATCTGCCGACAAACAATGCCGAGGCCATGCACTAAAACTTGTGACTCAATATTCCCGTTTAGATTGTAGAAAGTTTTTTTACTCTCTTAGTGTCTGTCCGCACTGGAACGCACTGCCATCGCATGTGGTGAACGCACCAAACATCGAGACATTCGAAAGACTATTGGACTTGCACTTACATGATACACATTATATAACGGTATGACAAACTGCAGTGTCTAACTTACTGATATTTTTGTGTCACACCTGAAACTTTTGTTTTCTTCCATTTGCCATCCTGTGGGTCTTGTAAAGTTATTGCTTTTTATCCCACCATACACTACTGAACTATTGAACATCAAGCGCAGCCACATGGGGGATATCAAGCCACAGCCAATCACCTGAAACGATAAGATGAAATAAAACGAATCCAATGGTGCATACAGATACGGTGGCATAACTCCTCGCTAAATTATCATATGAAGTAAGTTGGTTAGCAACGAATTCGCGATAAGGAAAAAATGTTCACAAGTTACTTAAAAATGCTACAAACGCAACAAAGTTACCGAAGATAAGCGCAATTAGTGTAAGCAACGTGGCCAGTTAATAGAACATTATTCAGGTAGGTAGCACAAACCAAATAAAATGGAATGAAATTCAGCCAGCTTAAAAAGACCTAGTTTACGTGTAAGTTGGTTTAGCCCAACTGCGGTGAAGAAGCATCAAGAATGCAACATCAGCCTCTAACTATTAACGTTTTCAATCCAAACGTCTGCGATAAACTTTGCTAATAGGGATAGGTAATCTTGTGATCACTGCGTCCTAGAATCGAATATTAAGGTAATTATCTCGAACTGCAAAGTCTAAACAGGTACAATATCAATTTCCGCCCTGCTAGTTGGATTGACTGAAGTTTATTTCGACCTAATTTTATCCTTAGTTGGTGCTTTCATTGCACAATATTTGCGCAAAATTGGCAATCCAAGAACTCAGCAGTTACAGGGAGCCTTGTTTCGAACACAGAATTTCAGCATTTGATGCCCACAACTGTAAACAAAGCAATTGTTAGCACTCATATGCCCCATTAATAGAACTGGAGCGTCTAGTGAGGGTACCCAGAAATAGCACTGCTTTTCAAATGCTCGAACATACCCTCTATATTTTCGTATGTACACCGAATTAGGTAAAGTATTTTGGTACACTGTGAGAGTACAGAGGATGCTCCTACTAAAAGTAACTAGAAATCGCTATAAAAACACGCAGAAATGTTTCATGAAGGTGATCCACAAACCTAATTGGATCAGATGGGATTTGGGTGCTGCCCTTCCGAAGACACTGCACATCACAAATCAGTCAGTATCCGTTGTACCAAGTGTTGCCATTCGTGACGCGGTAGACAAAAGTGTGAAATGATTCGGGTTGGAGGCTTGTCATCTCCGCCTGTCATCATCAGCATCATCATTATACATGTCAGCTAGAGGTGGTGAAACACCTCCGCTTTTGTACCGCAATACATAAAGGAAATACATACATACATACAATTCATAAAGGAAAATAAATATGACAGTTGCATGCCAGCTGAGCTAGCGGCAAAGGATAAGCATCGTTCCGGTAAGCTATCAGCCAGCTACTAGGCAAAAAACTTTATTATGTTTTAACTTACGAAATGAGATCGTAGGTGGGGGGGGAGGCTAAAAGTGATGGGGTGTGACAAACACACTCACAGCAGGAACGACACTGATGTCGGCTCCTTGCCATGTCAGCAAATATATCCAGCCAAACGTGTTCACGTCTTTTGGACAGCTACTGTGTCGAAATACATAAGAGAAAAAACGAAAATAAATACAACAGTTGCATGACTGCTGAGCTACCAGCAACGGATAAGCATCGTTCCGGTAAGCTACCAGCCGGTTAATAGACAACACGAAAAATTATGATGTAAAATTATATTACGCTACGAAATGAGAGAGCGGTTGTAGGGGGAGGCTAAAAGGGATGGGGAGGGACAAAGAAATTCACAGCAGGAACGCCACTGAGGTCATTCCTGCTAGCCATCTGACTGAGTTCCTTGGCTCGCGCTGGTCGTTCGTTCGCTGTTGTTTGGACCACTCCCCTATATTGAGTGGAGCAGGACTGCACTTTGTTCACAATATCCCAAAACCAATAATGAACTGTGCGTCCGGCCCGTGCATATGTGGTCACTTACGCCAGTGGCGCTGAGTGGCCCTCCAGTCCATTGGTGACACGTCGGTTTCATTCACATAAACTGCCAGGTACCATAATGTTACCTTGGCTCTTAACTTTAACAGCTATTCAAATAACTCCCATCGGTTTGTCCCCCGCGGTTTAATAAAAGATCAAATGACACACGAGACTGGCATCAACAGCATGCGCTAGGGACATTATCTCCCTGTGTCTCACTAGATTAGTATATTTTTCTTACAGGCATTTATTAGTACTACTCTGGGCTGACAGATATGTTGTGTTACGCAATTTTGATTTGATGAGTTTTCCATTAGCTTGGTGCGCTGCAGCTCTATTGAATATACCCGTGGATAACGTTTTCATGTCAAATAGACTTCTTTCAATTGCCTGTATGATTACATTCTCGCTTCGCTTGATGTCCTGTCCGCACAACCACAGGTTCAACGGTTTGCGGACAATATGGTCGACAAACGAGATTCTGGTAAGCCATTGGTATCATAATTCCATTGACTTCTGGTCTTCTTAGACACAACTTTGCCATCTTGTCCCCGTATATTGTAAAGCAATTAATCGTGCCACTTTCCCCAGCCGTACTTTGTTGCAACTGCGTTCGACAAGTCGGTGGTGTCTTTCAGCGCGTGGTTCACTTGACATTGTAAGCATGAGGTACAGTTTCTCCAAACCACGACAGTATACTTATCAACCGTTCGGACGATGTCAAGGTTGAGATTTATGACGCCACGTTCCCACTCACATTTTTCACCATGCAATGGAACGCAGGGTATTATTCGTCATTTATACTAGTGGCTAATTGTTGGGTCAATAATTGTTTGTCTTGCAGAATGATCTGAAACGATTTAATACGGTTTTCTCCGAACGTAAGTAATGCCGAAGACCGGACGCACTGTAGCTTATTGTTATTATTAGAAAACTGTGTAATAAATTGGCTGGTATAATTCTGTACTTGAATTAACTCGTTCTTTTGTGCCACTCAACCTTGCTTTATGCATATCATATTGTGTGATTAGCCTCAAACTTTACCACGCCGTGTTACCCCATTACGTAACCCAACTTTATCCGATCCTGCATCCTGCTCGGGAATTTGATGAGCATTAAGGTGTGCGGCACATAATTCACCTGTTTGATAGCTTTGAACAAACAGTACTTTTACCAGACGAGAATGCGCAACCGGATTCATGTGGATCCACTAAATGAAATCCATTCCCGTCCTTTGGCACTTTGTCACATTGAGGTACTAGTACTAGGTTTAATTACTCTTGCCTCTTTGAGTCCTGAAACATATTGATCGTACAAAAGAGAGCAGCCTAGTATTATAAATACCTTTTGTATGAAAACCACGGATTTCTCCAGGAAACATTTTACTCAAGGCAACCTTTAATAACCGACACTTTGGAAGGGAATACTCGACGCGTCTTACTACTTTCTTACTGTATCGAAGTGAGGCACGTAATTCGCAACATAAACTTGGCAGTCAGTTTCCGAACTCAACAACAGTCACTTCTCAGCTGAGACCGATCAACAAACCTTAATCACAGAAAAGCTAACTGATTTGCAGGGAATCACCGGGCACTCGGATGCCTGTCGATGTAACATGTTTCCCTCTTAATCCCAGTTCCATGCGCCCGGTGACGACCTCACCAATGTGCTTAGATTTCCAGAACACTAACAAACCCGATTGCTTGTGCTGTGTTAGACGACTGACCGAGCGAGTTGTATAGAGGATTCATTTAGGTATTGGTCCTTAGATGTATAACTGTGTTCCAACCATATAAAGTGCAATTGTCCTTGAATTCTGTCGATTCTATCCCATTCACTACCAAAGTTTGCGGCTACCTGCTTTTGTGCCCTTATCTGGAGAGGGAGAGAGAGAGCAACACTGCAACTCTTCCACTTAACTGCATGCGTATTTCAGCATTACCGTTTCAGTGTATCGACTCATTGGTTTTATGCATAGCGTACGAACTTCATGATCAACTGCGAGTGGACTGTTACTTGTAGCAATGCATCGAATATTGCTGCGCATTGAACGGCATGTAGATCGCATTTATCGTGTACCATGGGCCGGCTTCAAATCAACAACAAATCCAACCCATGTTCTATTCACTTTTGTCTATCAGGCGGATGCTAGTATTGGGGGGGGGGTGTTAGTGAAACTATCGGCGCATACCACACCTGAGCTCTCCGTAGGGGAAGCTTTGGATTCCCGCTTCAGAGGCAAATCCGGAAACTGCTACCAAAACCAGTCAAGTGATATTCCTCTCACTGGTGACCACATAACACAATTAATACACCCAGGCGTTGTAGGCGAGCCCTTAGCTTGCGATACCAAGCAAGATTTGAACTGATTTAATTACCACTGTGTCTCACTACCTCGATGCTTCCAGTCCGGGCTTGTACTGGATTCAAATTGGGAATCTTCTTGGCGTTCCTCGGCTGTCCACTCTATGGTCTGGTTGTCCTTATTTCCACGGTTTGAGTTGTGATACGACATCTTCTTGATGTAAAATGCGCTTTGAAGTGATTCTCTTCCTAAATCTGGCCTCGCATGAGGTTTTGGACTCAGCATATATGTTTGTACTGTATAATCCTAACGATTCTGTTAATGGATTAGTGCTGGCTGCGATTTCGGGGAACAGAAAGTGCAGGGTAACTGGTCTGCGGTATTTCACTAGTGTAGCTTTTTCATCGAATTACAAAACTGCTAGTTTCAGACTACTGCTGCTCTGTCACTTAATACAACCAGATTACTAGTACTGCGTTGCTCCCCTTCTCTATATGCAGGAGAGCCACACGACCATCCTCTTTCCACGCATGACAAGTCGGATATCCATCGTGATGTGACCTCGACGGAACCTTCTTCCGCCGAACCTGGGAACCATAGAAGTGGATTACATGATGCACCGGTCAATGATTTAATTAAGTCTATTTCAGATCGCGCGTTATTCACTCTGTTGAAGGTGAGCGTACATATACTAAGCAACTGATTAAACAATACTAGGTTCACTCACATTGCCTCTGCATTTCCTTACGCCCAACAGGTACAGCAATCTCATCCCATTGAGTCTCATTTTTAGTTTTCACTCCTCGGTTCAATAAGTGATCGGGGGTGAACTTATTATTACCTCACCTTGATGAGTAACGGAAGGTAGTAGGGACGAGTTACCATGTATGAAATAGTGTAATTGAGATACTAACTCCGTACACAGTCTAATCCTGCATGACTGAATGACGGGGAATGCTGATCCTCAGCAATCCAAAAGTTCCCATTTATTAGAATGAATCAAGGGAAGCAGAATCTGAGTAAAGAATTCTTTTCGGTAATTCTCATCAGACTCAAACATTACATGATGACGAGAAAGTGCTAAATATGCCGGATTGGGCTGCGCATTGAACAGAATGTTTAATTTCAACAGGAACAAATCACTGGGTCATTGATAGCGGTAAGTATGTACAGGGGAAATCACAGCCGCAGTTGTTTGCCACGGTAGAAGTAAAGGACGTAAAAACTGTTTTTGTGCGCACAATGCTGGCTTGAGGTGGCGGATGTAGATAGTTTCCGCAATAGACAGGAGACGCTTCCGGAATCCGCACGAGAAACGCTCAGGAATAGTATAAATGACTCTAAAAATCAAATTCCGTCCCTACGTGACCGCACTCTAGAAGGTGAGACAAAATGGAACTGTTACTGGACCACGCTTCGCCTTTGTAAAGCCACTTTGGGGTGTGTTCGCGAATCCTATGAGATAGGCACCTCGTGGTACTACCCACGTATCGTGCACCACAGGAGCACGAGTAAAGATAAATAGGCATTGATCGAGTCACCGGAGGCAGCCTGTCTTGCAAAGGTTTTGCGAATAAAGGCTTGTTGTAAAATACTATGCGTAGGCGAGCCACGAAATAGGTCTTTACAACAGCGTCTTTCGGGCGTTTGGACAGGGCATCATACGCAATGTCGCCTTTGAAAGGAATATGCACAATTAGTTCTTTTTATGGTACGCTCATCCTCGGTGGTTTTAGCTTTCGTTCTTTCAAATGTTTGGGGATGAATTTATCTGGATACCCATTCGCTCTTAGCGCGTCGCCTATCCTCTGCAATTCTTTGGTACTTGTGTCCGGTGTGCAAATTCTATGTACCCGGAACGCAAGAGTGCGGACTAGATTTCGTTTGTACTGTATGGGTATCACACTATAGAAGTTGATTTACTGTCCAATCCAAGTTGGTTTTCTATACAGCGCTGTGCTGCACGATGCATCGGCGTTTCTGATGATATCAACGTCCAGGAACGGTAGTCGGTTTCTGGATTCGTGCTCACACGTGAATTGTAGATCCTGATGGGCATCATTAAAACCTTCCAACAGTTTCACATTCTGCGCTTTCGATTTGCAGAGTATAAATGTGTCGCCTACATAACGTACATACATTTCGACTTCGTTCATGTGCGTTCGTAAAACGTTATGCTCCAATTTTGTCATAAAGACATCTGCTAGGAAGGGTTCCAATGGTGAGCCCATGGCAACTCCATCAATTTGACGATACATCTCCCCGTTGAAGGCGAACTGTACGTTTAAGGTGCATCTGAGTAACAATTCCTTCAGGAGGTCTTCAGGGATATTTAAAGGTACATTCAGCTGCCGTACTAGTTCGCAGACCTTCTACTGTTTCCAACAACGGAATATTCGTAAACAACGACTGCGCATCAAATGATGACACCCATTTGTTGTTAAGGTTCACACCCCTTATCTTCTCAATGAACTCGAAAGTGTCTTTCACGCAGTAAGTGCAGACGGTTTTACGCAGCGGTTCCAGCTTCTCAACCATCTATTGAGCTAGCAAATGTTGCGGAGCGCTAACCATATCTAATCTGGGACGCATTGGAACGCCCTCCTTGTGAACTTCAGGGAGGTCGTACAACCGTCGTAGATGTCCGCCTGAAGGCCTCAGCTTTTCGAATTAGCACTTTGTGATAATATTCGCTTTCATCATTTGTCGGAGCAAATCAGTCAGTTGTTTTGCTAACGTGCGGATCTTACTGTATAGTAGTAACACGATCATTATCAAACAGCGACGGATTTCTCACTGGAAGATGCATTTCCCCATAGTAATGGGTCGGAGAAAAATGGGGGCTTGTTATGTTTTTGAGATGGTTCGTCGCAGCTAGACTCAGTCACCACACATCCAGGAAAGCGCTAGACGACCGTTTAGATCTTTGGGGTCTTGTCACTGACGCGCATCCAGGGGATTCTTCCGGATTCGAACCCATGAGCTTACCGTTCAAGTCAGCGACACGAATCATGAGACATGGGTTACGGCAGCGGACTGCTGCAACTAATATCTAACCGCGAAACTGTGCAGCTCATCTTCCACTGTCATGCACGCTATGAATGTGCAGAGGACAGGGCGTGCGCCCAGTGCTAAGACTACCTTTGCAGGCCGCCACCAATCATGGTAGTATATAGGCTTCTGATGCGATTACTGTATATTAGTGCGTAGTATGGGACATTTTTGCATATGATGACGAGATTCGTCCCAGCCAGACAGCCACCACACATCCAGGAAAGCGCTAGTGGGCCTTTTCCTCCTATTGAGACTCGTCAGTAGCGCGCATTCATCGGTATCGGCTGGTTCCCAACCCATGTATCTTTATTCTTACGAGTCTATCATTTGGAGGATGAGGCGCGCTATACACAGTTCTAATTCATTCACGGTATTCCTCCACTGCCAACCATTTCTCAGTGGCATAAGTTGCTGACTCGTAAGAGAAAGGTCATTGTTTCAGATCTGGCAGGATTCGGCGGGTGTGCGATACTGAGGAGTCCTCATATGATGAAACGTCCGTCTGACTGAGTCTAGCCGTGGAAAACCTATTCAGCAACACAAAAAACCCTGTGCTAATCTACACGACAAACGTTCACCATGTCTCACGTAGTCGGAAGAGCCGTTAGACCGAAACCAAGCACCAAGCGGATTTGTACTCTGAATGTTACTGTTATAGAGTACTCTCCATGTGTTTGGATTTCGTTGCACAATCTGAATTGGAACCACGATTCACTCTGAGACATACTTCTATCATTCTGTGTACTGAGACTGTATGGGAAATTTAGATCCTTCGGTCTTTCTCGTTCCCAACTCGGCACTCCACGACCGGTTTCACCCTAGTCTGTACTCATCCGGTAGGCAACGGAACTAAGAGCAGAATCGATAATTCTACGCTTCGGATACGGTTGCATTAATCGGAATAGTCGAGTCTTATTCTCAAGGAAATCGAAGTCCTAATAGAGATTGTGTGAAGTCACTGCGGATATTCCAAAACCCTACAGTGACCCTAACCGCGTTGCAATGCTATGCTCACTGTTGTGGTTTCCGCTGGTTGTACGGATAACCTGCCGCTAATGCGCAAGCTGTCAGACCGACTTCCCAAGTTAGAGGACAAAAGCCTTAGGGGAAAACTGCATTGAACTCCCGGCAAGCAGTATACACTATCAACTACTGTGGTCAAATCAACATTTAATAAGAGGATGACCTAGCGCTCACTGACACACTTCAAGGTAGACCATCCCCATTGGTAGCGCTCAGGGTGAAACACCATCATTTGCCAGCTCTCATTGGTTGGCCAATAAGCTTCGGGCTGCGTAAGGTCAACTGTTCCGGGCTCCTTGCGAAGGGGTGCCGGCTCCCTGTGCACTCACAGATCTCAGTGGTCTGATGATCAAAGCGTCCACCGTCAACCACTACGTTGGGAGTTCCGCTACCAGCTTCAGTTATCTTCATCCGATAGACATAAAGGAGGAGGAAAGTGGTTGTAGAGAACGGTTCTAGGAACGAGCAACACTCCGGATGCTTGAAACTGTGCATGGAAGCTAACCAATAACTACACGGTGGTTCTGAATGTTTAGCCGCGCTGTGATCTTTGGTCTTCAACCTGCATTTTAAATGCGCGTTTCACCTTCATTTACGAAGATGGCACATTCCAATGCAGTCGTCTTTTAACCAAATCCTTTACAGGTCGGCACAAAACGTTTGGTTGTTTCATTTCATCAGATAATCTAGTAACCAGGATACCAAAACAGATGGCACGCAGGCACATGGTGAGTTCGAGCGAACCACCACGAACGCTTTACGATTATTACTGGTAACCGTGTAGAGTCACAGTTTGCAGGATAGAACTGCTGAGGTTCTTTCGGTGGAAGTGTGTACCTCTTTCACGCGATTCAAAATTGTGTTGGTATCTGGAAACCTCGAAAGTACGTCAAGTGGGCTTATTGCTTTTGTTCTCACTCATACGGCGAATAGATACCTGGTTAGGGGTGATTTTAATGCTCCCGAGATTGATTGGTGGAATTTCATTTGCGAAGCGGCGGTAGGATGTTTTTCCACGAATCTCCTTGACATTTATTTACAAGCATACCCTTCTCAATTTGTACAAAGGCCCACTAGGTTCATAGTGGGCCAGAACTCCTCCCTCTTAGGCCTGTCTTTGCCAACTCGGTGGACTTTGTGCGAGATCTAGTTTACGAGTTTCCCTTTGGTGCCACTGACGACATGTGCCTAGTACTCAAGTGTGTTCTAAGTCATGGTCGTGAACAACGTATTACCCGCATTCCAAACGTCTGGAGAGCGGATATCTAAACCATGAAAGACAGGGCTGCGAAATTCCCGTGCATCATATCAGGGACCAATATTGTCCAGATCGCGTTGAACGGAATTAATTCCTTTCCCTGTGTAATACCTCTCCACCAAATCCCAATCTCATTGCGGAAGAAAGTGGGGGCAAAACCGCCATTGTTTGTCTCTGAGGCGCACAGGATTCTCAGTAGGCCACCCAGATGTTGGAATTCTTGCGTATCAGCTTCCTTGGAAACAACGTATCATTACCACTGAGAGGTGCGAAATGTCTGTAATCAGCATCTGCAGGTCACACGTCTGAGTTATGAACGGGAGCTATTCCGCTCGGCACCA